CTTTCCCTACTCTTCTCCCTTCCGAGTCCCCCTTCTCTCGGCCGCCCCCCCTCCCTGTTCTGTCTCTGTCTCTGTCTCTTCTCCCCCCACCTCTCTCTCTCCTCTCTCCCCTGCAACCCCCCTCCACCCCTGCAGTGCCTCCAGTTGATGTAGCTAAGTCCATGCTTAGGCGCCTTAAGGAGATCTGGCAAGGTGACCCGGTGCAGAGGGCTTACGCTTTAAACATTGGTGCAGGGGCTGCTGTCACCCGGGCAGTATACTTGCGCGTGGTCCGAGAGTTTGGCCTTCCTGATGCAGCAACTGAACTGTTAAAGGTAACTCTTTACATTTGCAGCATCAGCAAAGGGGACAGTGCTGGTTGGAGTGGAGGTGACAGGCTGCTTGTTTATCAGCTGGAATCTAATCAACTAAAGGCAAAAATAAACCCTTAGGAATTCACTAGCTTTTCAAACTGAAGCTGCTACTTGTAAATCTTAATTGGTTGCAGTGATTGGATTTTTTGTGGTGTTTTTACAGAAGCTAATTATTGAGAATGAGCAGTGCATAATCGATCTCTGTTGTTCTGGATTGTGCCAATTTAGTAAGTTTCCTGCATTTAAAATACCAATTTAGCACACAGATGTGATAGTACAAGCAGCAATCAGACAGATGTTTTTATTCTAATCTGATTTTTTTTTTAACCTACTCTCCCCACCCCATGCATTTTGAGTGTTCTGACTTAAGTTGCTACTCTGTTGGAGCCCCAGTTTACTGGAGACATGTTATTCTGCTGCATGGGCAACCAGGCAGATCAAACTAGCTTAAAAGCCCACCAGAAATGCAACAAATTGAGTTGAGTTTTGATATGTCAGTAATTTACTAGTGAAATTAATTAAACACTGCTTTCCTTAGACAGTTTTCTTTGCCTCATACGCCCCCTTGTGGAGAGTCCTGTTCTTGACTTTTTGCTGACTTCCTCCATTTTGCTTACTGCCCTCTCTCTTACCCCCAGCCCCCCAGACTCTGCGATGAGCTGTGGATGGAGAGCAAACCCCCTCTGCTGCTCTTAGAAAAGAATTGAATAGAAATTTATTGTCGTGTGTATTTTGCGTGAAAAGTTTTACAAGCCACAGCACCTGCATCAAAGACAGAAAGTCATATGTAATAATAATAAAAGTAAACGAGAGACAAAGTTCATAACAGTTCAGTTAACCGCTCCTGCTCTCGGGGGAAAGCCAATTTAAGCAATGATGGAATGCCCTGAAGACGCAGCCTGGATGAGATTGCTGTGCCGGGCCCCTGGAAGCTGGGGATGAGACCACCACACTGGGAGGTCGCCATGCCAGGCTGACACTGTCACTCCTCCTCCTCCAGGCACCCGGGCTTATCTGTAGGCCTGGAGCTTTGGCTCAGCCTGCGAGTCCAGGCTGGGGGACCCAGCCAGGGACCTGGCCCTCGCTCGCTGGTAGAACCTGGGCTCGGTTGGAGCCGTGTCTGTCTCGTCCTGGCGTTTGCTAGAGCTAGAGACCCCGCCACTCTCCAGGCTTAAGAGAAAAGAAAACAAAGAAAAAGGAAAAAAAGAGCAAAAGTTTAAAAAAAAAGAGAGAGAAGGCTACAGGGCTCTGCTCTGCTGCCATCCAGTGACTAAACTGAAGAAGCACAATGGTAAAGATCGAGAGTCTGTCCAGCTGTTGTCAGCTGGTGATCTCTACACAGTGTGTAATTGCAGGCAGGCCATTCAGCCCAACAAAGCCATATTGTTGTTTATACTCTTGACCCCATCTAGCTTCATTCATGTAGCTTTCCCTTTTCAGTGTGTAACTTCCCCTTAAATAGAGTTTCAACCACATTGCTGTGGGTCTGGAGTCACACGTAGGTAAAGATGGCAGATTTCCTTACCTAAAAGACATATGTGAGCATTTACATCAATTGATCATAGTTGTCACCGTTCTGAGGTTAGCCTTGTATTCCAGATTTGATATTTTCCAATCATTCTGTTCATCGAGTCTTACAGTGTAGAAGCAGGCCATTTGGCACCCACCCTCCAAAGAGCATACTACTCAGATCCACCCCTCTACTCTACCCTATCCCTGTAACCCTGCATTTCCCATGGCTAATCCACCTAGCCTGCATATTCCTGGACACTATGGGGCAGTTCAGCATGGCCAACCCACCTAACCTGCACATCTTTGGAATGTGGGAGGAAACCGGAGCACCTGCAGAAAATCCACGCAGACATGGGGAGAATGTGCAAACTCCACATGACAGCCACTCGAGTGGAATCAAACCTGGGTTCCTGGCGATGAGAAGTAGCAGCGCTCGTCGCTAAGCCACTGTGCTGCCCTTCAGATGTTGTTACACATCTCTGGGGCAAGTGGAGTTTGAGCCCAGATCTCCTTGCTCAGAGGTAGGAGCCCTACCACTCTGCCATGAAAACCCCCTATATTCCAGACAAATCAATTGATTTTGAAGTGCTGTTAATTGCCAAGTTGGGATTTAAACCCAAACATTCTCAGATCCATAGTTTGGGCCTCTGGATGGCTAGTCTAATGACGTTGCACTATACCATTGTCTCACTGTCATAGCAATGAGACCATTTGGCCCTGCATCCTGGTGCTTATATTCCACGTGAGCCTCCTCCCTCCTTAGAAATTCAAGTATTTCTTCCTTTCTCAACTGCATTCATGTATCCTCCTCATTCTTTCTCCTTCATTGCCTTATTTAGTCTCCCCTCAAAAATTTTAAGCCATATCTCAAATCCTAAGTTACAATATGTTTCCATTAATTTCTCAAAATGTAGCATTAAATTTGATAAGTTGCCTAGCATCTTCATGCTTTTGTAGTTTAATTGAAAATATTTCCTCACTTTCCACTTTTAGCCAAATAAATCTTTTAAAATTAGTTTTTTTACATAGTAGACCATGTAATAGTACTACATTTTGAGGTTTCTTTAAGCCCTAAAATTTTCTTCATGGTTTAATGTTGTCTACTTGGTCCTGCCGAGATCTTTGAATTCCTCCACCTCTGTCCTCTTACACATCCTGATTCCCTTAGTCCATTAATGGTCATTACCTAAGCTCCCTGACCCTAAGCTCTGAAATTCACTCACTAAACTTCCCTGACCCACTTCTTTTTAATAAGCTGTTTAAAACCTACCCCTCATGGATCAGGTTTTTGGTCACTTGGCCTAAAAGTTTTGGGTGCCTTGGTGTCAAATTTTTTGTTTGATTCTGGGAGTTGCCTTGGGGTATTTTATTACATTAAAGATGCCATATGAATGCAATTTCTTGTATGTTCTTTAAAAACAGTTCTGAGCTTCATAAAAGATGCCCGCAATCTGTCCCTGGTCAAAAGCCTTGTAGTTTGAGCAGGTGATGACAAATACCTGAGACACTCCAGCCTGCACCTGGAAACATTGTTCAAATAATTAATACAGGAACTTTAAAAAAAAAAACAAGTATTTTGGAGGCAGGAAAAGAGAAAGGGAGATTTGATCTTTGAGTGTAGACCAAGGGGTTCCCAAAAGTGGTGGGTTGTGACCCCCAGTGGGCTCCCAAGTCAGGAACTCTGAGGCAGCAGTGGAGCTTGCACTGAGCTTTAATTATCTGTTCTTCAGCTAGGTTTTTGCTTTGTTCAGATCAAATCAAGTAGATCTAACCTCCCAGCCTCTGTCCACTGAAGTATCTCCAACCTTGCCAACCTGCTCATCTACTCTTTCCTCTGCTCCCCCAAGCCCCAGTCCCCCATTTTCTCTCTTGGGGTCATACAAAATCACATTTTTAAATTGGGTCAAATCAGGGGGAGAAAAAGCTTGAAGTGCTGGTGCAGAGCATGTCAGTGCTCTGAAAGTTGTGATTTGAAATATTAGCCTTTTCTTTTCAGTGTTAACTGACCCACTGTAACTTCAGCAGCTTCTGTCTATATTTCAAGTTTGCATCAAAGCTGAGTTACTTTTAAGAGATGTAGTGTTCCTTTTACTTTACCATTTTATTTCTTTCCACTTCAGTATCCTGCGGTATATTTTCCTAATGAGCATCTTGGCATCGATAGCCCGACATTCCCAAAACGTCAGCCAAACTCTCGACGGACCACTCCAGTCAAGGAAACCAACATCCTGAGCCTGGATCCTTTCAGGAATTTCAGCCCACCTCTCCCACCTCCTCCTCCTCCTTACCATCTCCCTCCAACGCCCAGGAGGGACCGCGCACAGCCCAGTGAAAAGAAAGAAGACAGCCAGCCTACCTCATACTGTGCTTTGCGTGCTAACCTGCAGCCACATTCTGGTTCTCGAACTTCAGAACAGGCGGTCCAGGCCACCATCAGGGCTATAAACTGCGAGGAGCCCCCTGACAACCATGTGACCCTCGAGGAGCAGGTCTCTCTAAGTATAAGTGCACATTCATTGCTTCTGATGAGTATATATCTGTTTGGTGTCCCACTGATGCTGCAGCTGAGCATTGCATTGCACTGTACTAGCTGATCTCTGCTGCAGAATCCTTCCTGTAGTTATTAGAGCCAAGTTGAAGAGGTTTACGGTGGTGGTAAACGGCACCATTTTGTTTGCGTGCTGCCTCCACTACCATAACAATAATTACACTTACAGAATTACTTCATTAGTCATAGTGCTTTAGAACATCCTGAGGTCATGAATTGGAGGGTTTTTTAGCTTTAACAAATGCATGTTCCTCATTACACCAGTCAATGCATCTATTCAAAATGCAATGTCTTTTTCCCAGCCCCAGTGACTCAGTTGATTTAAACAGAAAAGCAAGCATGTGTGAAGTAGAGTCAGGCAGACTAGAAACGCACCCGGTTGCCCTTCCTGATTTATGTTCAATTAATGGATTTTGGTCAGAACTCTGGAGCAGCGAAGGCTGATAGATAGATCGGGTTAAAATTATGAGATATATAGATAGGGTTGACTGTCAGGATCTTTTTCTGAGTTGAAATGCCTAAAGCTAGGGGACATGCATTTAAGGTGAGATGAAGAAAGTTCGAAGGAGATGTGTGGGGCAAGTTTTTTTACACAGTGATAAGAGTCTGGAACGTTGCTGCCAGGGGTAAGCAGTGGAGGCAGCTACGATAGAGGTGATTAAGGGACTTTTGGATGTGCCCATGAATAAGCAAAGAATGGAGGGATATTAACCAAGGGCAGGTAGAAGGAATTCGTTTAGTTTGGCATCCTTTTCCTGTGCTGTACAGTTCTATGTTCTAACTGTTGGGGATGGCTGGAAAAAGAGGGATTTCTGTACTGTGCTATTAAATCAAGACCTTTCTGCTCTTTCAAGTGACCATAAAATAAATAGTATCTAAAGAAGGGCAGATGAACTCTCCTGGTATTCTGACTAATATTTGTACTTTTAGCCATTGTCACTAGACCATCTGGATATTCATCTTCAAGGTGCTGAGAGACCTTGTACACGATTGGCTGCTATTTTTCCCTACGTTCTGACAGAGGCTATTCATCAAAAGTGCTCGTTTGGCTATAAATCATTTTGGCCATTGTGAAAGATTCTACAATAAATGCATTTACCATTGTGTCCTCAACACGTTTAATATTTAACCAGATATTCGGTGAGGTTAAGTATGGATGAAGCGAAATCGGGTATAGTTTTGGGAGTGAGAATAATTGAACAAGGGCACACAGCAATAGCATTTTTAATAATTCCCTTAAATTTTTGGTTCATTTTATTAATAGAAAGTAATGTATGAAAACTACTTGTACTGTAGTTGCATCCTCCCACTAGTGGGGGCAATGCAGTACCTCCATATTTATTGTAATAAAATTAAAACCAATGTATACGCAGATTTGTAATACATTGAGCCCTTCTCTAGTCTGGATTCGCTTCTGCAATTTCTAGGGACTAATTTAACTGTTTGCCTTTGCAGAGTTCCAAAAGTTTGGTAAAAGACTTGATGCCTGACATTGCCATGGCAGCTGGGTCAAAGCAGAATTTGAGCTCCAAGGACCCCGAGCTGTGTAAGCCCATCACTGACTCTGTTCGAGATTCTACAGAGCCCCCCATGGAATCATCTGAACCGCTCTGCGCAAACCGCGGTATCAGTAAGTACAGCTTAAGGAAGAAGAAACACTCACGAGGTCAGAAGCCTCGAAGGCACATAGACTTCTGGAACTATCCTGATTTTTATGATTTTTCCCCTGAAGATTCTTGCCAGACCTCCATTTTGTCCCAAAAGTTGCCTTCTCCTTCTCCTTCCCCTTCAAAGGGCCTTGCTTTCTGTCAGGACTTGAAGAATAATTCCAGGTTCCCTCCTGGCTTGAAGCAAGGCCAGATCACCCCCACATCACCATCCAAAAGGAAAGAGGCCTTGAGCAGTGAATCCGTAGATCCTCAGGAGAAACCTGAACTTAAGAGGACTTTGGTAAAACTTGACCCATCGTCTACAGTTGAGGTTGTCCATTGTACTGCTGGCACGGATTTGACCCATGGTTTACCAGCTCATGAGGAACGGCTGCTTGACACCCATCAGCAACTTGGAAGGTCTGACCAGCAACTGCCTTTGGATCCAGCTAGTTATAAAGCCACCTCTGGTGGGACTCTAATGGGGACGGACTTGATACATGGCTTGCCAGCTGAAGGGCAGATACCCAGACCTAGACTCGCGTCACCAATCAAGTGCTCGTTTCTCACTTGCGAGCTACCAGCTTCTCAGTCAAGACAACGGAACTCCCCACAGACCACAGTAAAATCGGACAGCCTTTCTTCCCCGGAGCCGAGCTGTTGCGATTACCTTTACCGGAGGGGTGGGAATGGTGTGGCAATGACAACGGATTTGACTTGCAGTCTTCCTACCAGCCCCAGTGTTGGTATGCCATTAATCTCAGTTATTGAGGATTCCTCTGGAAGAAGACTAGCTGACACAAACCTCCTCTCACCATCAAACTGTTGCATCACCCATAGCGTTAACTCCAAGAGACAACCGAGTAAATCAGAGACTAGAGACTTTCCTTACAAAAAATCAGCTCTATAAATCTGATATTTGTATTCCTGGTCTGTTACATTTTATATTTCTTTCTTTTCTTGCCCCTACCCCACCTTCTCCAAAGGGTGTCCAGTACGTGAAAATAAATGATATGGTGCAACTAGAGCTTTTGTATGACTATGGTCCAGCTTTCTCATCTTTGGCTGTATTGTAAAGTATCTGATCCACTCAGAAGAACATCAGACTTCCCTTAGTGATCTGGTGAATCTTTTGGGGGACGGATGGCATGTCAGATTGAGGCTGGGGACCATTGATTTGTTTCTCTGTTTGTGCCCAGGCAAAGCTTGAGTGTTGATACCTCCGAGTGGCCCATTCTCAACCTAAGGGACAGTCCACCATAGGCAGGCATGGAGGGCTAAGTCAAGAGGGGAGCTCATGGGGACTCTGTTCTGCACATCCCTAAACTGACTGCAGAGACACTTTGACGAGTAACAAAGTTCCAAAAAAATGGAATGAGCTGTTTTAAATTCTTTTCATTGGAGTTGGTATCGTTGGCAGGCCTGTATTTGTTGCCCATCTTAATTGCCCTTGAACTGAGAGGCTTGCCAGGTCATTTCAGAGGGCAGTTAAGAGTCAGCCACACCTCTGTTACAGGACTGGCAATCCAGGGACCCAGGCTAATGTTCTGGAGATGTGGGTTCAAATCCCTCCAATTCAGCAGGTGGAATTTAAATTCCACTTAATGAATTTGAAGTATAAAGCTAGTCTGTGTTGGTGATCGTAAAATTATTCTAGGTTGTTGTAAAAACCCATCAGATTCACTAAATTCCTTTAGGGAAGGAAATCTGCCATCCTTGTCCTGTGATACCAGACCCTCTGAAATGGCTCCATTCAAGGGGCAATTAAGGATGGACAGCAAATGCTGGCCTTGCCTGTGATGCCCACATCCATGAATAAATGAGATCTCTCCTCCTTTTCACTTGCAGTGTGCATCTGAGCAGGTTGTGGATTACGCACACAGAAAGGTTCTATTTGTGAGAATGAAGCCACATCCTATCCTGAGCCTTCAGATAAGGGGAGAGACTGCTGTGTGTGAGTTATCCGATGTCTTGTTGAACCATCTGCCTTGAAAAACAAACCAAAAATTAGCTCGTACTCTGCACTTAGGCAGAACAGGTTTCTGATGACTGTCCCCCATTTAGGTGGTGTTAAATTCAGAAAAACAAACCATGCGTTTGGGCACGGCTCTCGCGATTTGAAGAACAGTCTTTTCAGAGGAAGGAATGAAAGCAAAATAAATCTTTTGAGTTGGTGGTCCTCTCATTTCGACAACAGCATTCTGTAGCCAGAGGCAGGGAAATGGACTAAAAACAAATGCTTCTCTTGGTTAAGTTAGTTATGAATTTCTTAAATCTGATTAGCCTGTCGCTTTTGTTCACATAATGTTTGCTATTTATTGACGGGGGAGGGGTGGAAGAACTAACTCGCTTGTCCATGAAAATACAAAGGCACCTCAACCTGGAACCAGCAGGAAAGGTCAACCAGAAGCAGAGAGCTCACCAGGAATGGGTGAGATTTTGATGCTGAGCCCACACTGACATGAAATGCCCACGACTATCGTTACTGATTCTGCCCTCCTTCTGTTTGGTACGAGTTTCTGGATTAATGTAACATTCGAGTTGAAGCATCAGCAGGTACAGATCTGTTGCTGGTGGTGGGAGAAATTTTGAGAAGGTTGTGTTGAGAGCGTGGAACAAGGAAACACCTCGATTTGGTGGTTATTTTTAAGAGGAATATGGTACGACAACACTACACAATACTGGGAATTCTCTCACACCCTTCACATCTAGCTCTTGTATTTCCAAGGTTACAATAGCCCACTTAGCTCACCTTTATCTCTGAGTTGCTTCTAAACACTTTCAATGCTTTTGAGAGAGGTGGTTTTTATTTAGGCTCCTTGAAGTTAAAATTATGTTTTGAATATATTTTTATATGATATATCAACTTTTAAAAACTGTGCATCTACAAGTTGTATTGTCTTTTTCTAAAACATCCTGTTTGTCAAGTCTTTTACTCTGTTTCCCCCTTTGTGATGAAGTGGTCTTTGAAATCATGTTTTGGTTTTTAACAACAAAACAAGGTTTGCTTTGAAAACCCACAAGAAATCCAGGGGTTTGTTCTAGGGCTATTAAATAGACAGGCTCTCCCATGGCCTGTAAACCCCAGCATATTAGTTAACTGATTAATACCCCAGACTTCACTGCAGAAATTAGGCACTTTTGGATATTTCATGTGTTCCTTTTTTCCCTGCATTGGCAGTACTTCTGTTTAAAACAACAGCCAGAGCAGTGTTGACCAAGAATGCATCCTTTAGTATTTTTGAAGAAGTTACCAAGCTAGAGGCAGGATTGAGGGGTTAGTGATGCTTGTTAAAGCTGGCATGCAGGTGGAGCCAGCAAATAGGAAGGCAAACAGTATGTTTCCTTCATTTCGAGGGGATTTCAGTACAAAAGGAATTATATCTTTGCAGTTGCATGGAATCTTGTTGAATCTACACTGAGTATTATGTACAATTTCGGTCCCTTTGTTTAGGGAAGGGTATACTTGCTAGAGGGAGTTCATTATAGGTTCACCATATATGGATCCCTCGGATTGCAGGACTGTCCTGTGAGGAAGATTGAGGACACTCGGTGCATGTTCCCTAGAGCTTCGAAGAATGAGAGGTGATCTAATTGAAACTTACAAAATTCTTGGGGCTTAATAGGTTGAATGTAGGTGGGATGTTTCCCGTGGCTGGAGAAATCTTAGGATATGGGGTAACCTATTTAAGGCAGGGATGAGGAATTTCTTCATTTACTAAATCTTTTGAATTCTGTACTCTGAGACTTGTGGAACTCCTATCATTAACAGTGTTCCAGACAGAAATCCATAGGTTTCCTGGAGCGAAATACATTAAGGAGGTGGTGCAGATAAGTGGCATTGAGAATTGAAGATCAGCTGTGATCTAATTGAATACCATTACAGACGTGGGCTGAATGGCCTTCACCTTTTAAATGTATTGTTGTGTTTAGGTAATGGTTTGAGCAATGAGGTTCATTTTCCTAATTTAGCAATTATTTGAAGCATAGAAGGGAGCAAGATAAATATTTTACATCATAGATCAGAATTGGAAGGGGTGTCATTTAACCTAAAGAGCCAGATAGGTATCTCTCAGGATCAGGTGATGTACCATTAAAATCTCATGGGGCTAAAGTCATCTGATGCTGTCAGTTTCCACGATGGGCACAACAGTTAAAATTAATTCCTTTATGTCTGGTTTACCTCCTGAAAGTTTTGGAGAATATTTTTCAGATGTCCGATTTTGTTGTGTGTCTATCAGTGAGTTGTCAACTTTAGATGTTCAAGCTGCTTCATGATTTGGTGAGAAGAAAGTGTTTCAAGGTTCCCTTTCTCCCCCTCCCCCAAATATTACCACCATTTATATCCCCGCCCCCCACACACACACGGGCACGCACACTTTCCTTCTCGTGAGTTAACCAGTTGCATTTTTATGACCATCATTAGACTTTTAATTCCAGGTTTTTTTTTATTAAATGGTATTTAAATTCCACCACCTGCTATGGGTTACTAGTCCAGCAAAAATACTGCTAGGCCATTGCCTCCACTTTATTCTGTACCTGTCAAATACACTGTGGCACAGGGTTGTTAGTTGACACAAAACCCGTGGGAATATCGACTGCCCGTGAGGGTAAGAGACATCTTCCTTATTTCCATTCCCAAACCCATTCTTGCATTTGCCTCTATGACTGTTGCCGCATTTGGAATGTACTACATTGTATAATTACCACTTTTCCTTTCAAATATACCTTAGTCTATCTGGCATCCATTTTCTGACAAACGTAAAGGCAAGGATGTCAGAAGGAGAGTTGGGAAAAGCTGAGAGTTGTTGGATGCCACTCAAAGAATGGTACTGGGCAGGATTTTTAGACGAGGTAGTAAGGATCCGTGCCCATACTTGCCCATGAAATTAAAATAGCAGTTGTTGACACTGCAGCAATGCCTTGGGAATGTCAAGTGATCAGTAAAAGTCACATGTTTTGTTTTTCACACCGGTAAGCGATATTGACCCACATGTACCATGAGAACTCTTAAGAAACTGACTGTTTTCCATTCGCTGTGGTTTCTGTTTGCACTTGGTGTGAGAATGTGAACAGAAACACAAAATAAACATGTGACTTTTTAAAATGCCAGATTGTTCAGTAATCTCTCGAGTGAGTAACACCAGTGGAAGTGTAGGATCCCTCCATGTTGCAATTTAAGACGTGCACAAAAACGCTGCCCTTAATTTTGACCCACATGTCCATTTATTTAATTCCATGATTCAATTCACTTTCAAACCAAAAATTAAACCATTTTCCGTTCTAAGGGGAAAGCATTCTCTGCTGTCCAAATGTCTGTTGCATAAGTTTTACCCTTTCCAGCTTCTTTCCCTTTTGGATGGGAGATGCAGGGTTTTTTTTTTTGGACTCCAGAAACATCTCTTTTATTAAGGAAACTGGATTGTGCCAAACAAACAACCTTGGATGTTTTGAGACAACAAGGTGCAGGGCTGGATGAACACAGCAGGCCAAGCAGCATCATAGGAGCAGAAAGGCTGACGTTTCAGGCCTAGACCCTT